CGAATGGATTATAGAAATCAGTGATGATGCCCAGCCCTCATGAGCAGCCTAGGCCTGACAGAGGGGATGTAGCTGTGGGTAATAAGAAAAGATGAAAAGAACTATTGATACATTTTTTGTTAAGTTAAGGCCTGAACTGTCTGAAATTCATAGCCAGCTCTGACACGGAGCCATCAACCTCTGAATGCTGAAAAAGCACAGTGTATCCAGGAAACACATTATATGCTGCGATAACTGCCCAGGCGTCCCCTCTAACACTGCCTTTCAGCGGCAAGCAGGTCGTCAGAGGAGCCGATGAGATGATTAAGTTTAACATTGTCTACAATACTGCCAAAGAGTGCCAACGCACTTTAAGCACAAGCACTTTTTCAGTAACTTATCTTTCCTTAGAAATGTGCTCTAAATAAGGAACTTTGTGTTGACAAGATTGTTAGTGAATCATTTACAAGTTAATATTGTCTGTATGGACAGCAATTTCCCCACAAAGAATTGCACATGTAAAACTGCAGTGTTAAGCAATGCAGCTGAAAAATTTGGGTGTGCCTAACTGGTGGGGAATGGGTTAGGGTTAGTGGTGCGCCTTTTTTAAAAACCGTGGCAGAAGGTTAGTCTGGAGCCCTGACACAATGGCAGGTTGCTGTGTAGGCTTGTTTCCCACATCAGTATCTCATTAGTTCCTATCAGAGCAATGACACCCACATATTTTGTCTTGTCTCTTCATATTTTAAATTATTAGAATCACCCTTCCTGCTGTAGAGCAACTAATCCGTCTGAATGGGGCTTAATTATTACTGAAGCCATTTGTCCAGTTTAATCCTGGGACCGTCCACAGCAACGTGCTGCTCTTCACTCTAACTGCTGACAGGATTCATTACCCTCATCACGACTGTTCTGTCCAGACTGATCCGCGGCATCACGCGTTTTGAAAACGCTTCATTTTCTGATTCCTTCATTGCAGACGTCATTCTAGGTGATGAAAAAATAACAACGTTTACAAAGTACCAAAGTGGCTCCAACTGAGACTTTACTGCTCAAGATGGTTAAAGAAGTGTAAACGAGTTACTGCGTTTTAGATGTTGCTTACTTTTTCCAATCTGGACACTGATGATCCTACAGAACTCGTGTCACATTTTCATGTTTGTTGTACATGAATTGTTTGAATCTGTGTGATCAGTGTCTGTAGGAGTTTTTATAGCTCCTTTAGTGCATTAGCAAAGAAATCTTGATGATGATGGATCGTCAGGACGATGTCCAGTTACACCAGTTCACACTCACCAGCACGTTCAGATTATCTTGGATAAATCACTTTGTTGTGTGAATATGCAAAGATTCACCAGAATCTTGTTTTGTTAATCCATTATTCATGTGAGTCTGTGTGTCATTCACAGGGAAATGTTGGCATATTGAATAACGTAGTTAAAGTCATGAACTACATCAAAGCAAACACCCCTACACTCATATCTGCTCGAGCAGCTTTGATGGATGCAGAGATGGATGTTGGGCACAAATGGTAAAGGATGCTAAAGGATGGCTGCCT